TGGCGGCCGGTTGCTCTCCCACTCTGTCCGTCCTCCAGCCTGTCACAACGGGAGGAGGTTTAAAAAGAAAAAAAAGCTTACCAGACCCATACTGGTATCCACGAGAATACGGGATGAGGGAGAGGAAGAGGGCTTTTTACCACTTTAGCGTTCTTTGGAGGAGAAATGGGAAAACCTACTGTTTGTGTAACTAACTCTTCTTTAAACAGTCTCTCTCATCGTGTTGACTAGCTCTGCTTATAGGGTTGGCATGACCAGCTTATTTCTTGATAATGCTTTGCTGAAAGGAAGTTGCTTATTCTTTAAAAGTGTGACTTTATGTTTGAGCGAATTTGTCAGTAACATGTCGGTTTAGAAATCCTCTTTTGACAAAGGCTTTTGTAAAAATTATTAAACCTGATGTTTTGTATAGTCGCCTTAATAGCCTGTGATGTTTAAAGCTTTTGTATGTAGTTACTAACTTGCAATATGAAATTTCTTTCAGCATTTTTGAAATCTAGTCAAGATTTTTAAAGAAAACTAATGCTGCAGAGTTTGAACAGACTTCCCTTTATAGAGGCTATTCTTAATTGATGCTTAAGGTGTCTTTTCTTTTGACAGTACTTGTTGATGACAGAAAGGCCTTCATTGTAAAAAATGATAGCAAGATGTGGCTCACTTTCCTTCTGGGTAAGTCAAAGGAATATGTCAGGGCGGGGAAAGATTTTTCTTTCTTTACCTTTCTCTCCCTGGAATTGTAAACTGTATCAGAATGTATTTGGAAATATAACTTGGAAAAACAAAAAAGGGACAGGAAATAACTTCCTACCTGATAATGTTTGTAAAGCTGTTATTGTAGCATTTGATGAGGTATCAAAACATTTGCAGGAAAATAATTGTCCAGATACTTATGGATCTCTCCTATCCAGTCATTAATTTCTAGGAGAGAAAAAAAAAAAAGCAACTCTTAATAAGTAGTGTAATCACAACAGCTTGATTTGGAAGGATTATGGTGGAAGAACATAAAACTGTAGGGAGATGTACATTCAGATGTTACTGTATTTGAGAATATTTTGAAGTAAATAATAAAATGGCTAATGGCCAAAGTCTTGGAAAAAGCACCTAAAGTTATTGCAAAATTAAGTAAGAAATTAATTCCTGAAGTTAACAAATGTTAAGTAATAGCGTATTTGTCAGATGTGCGATTAGATATACTCTTAAAGGTATTATATTAAAAGACTGTCAGGGTATTCCAAAGATGCTGGTACTATTAATCATGCTACCAGTAGTCCTTGTTGCCAAAGGGAGTTTCTTCAGTTTGATGAATTACATTGCAAAATAGTAGCAGGAAAACAACCCTTAGCTTACAAACTAATTGACGAATAATCTGTTCCTGAATGGCTTTGCTTGCCTGTTTATTTAGCATTTCCTATACTAGTAGTTACTTAAATCACATAGAAATGTTAAACCGATGGCCAAAATTGAAAAATGCTTTCCTTTGATTGAAATTTGAGAGCAGATTAGGTAGAGAGCTTTATAACTTCTGGAGTTTGAAGTTGGCAGTGAAACCCAGATAACCTATTAAAAGCTTCAGGGAGCTATTTATATTTTTGAATAGGAGTAAACCCTTAATAGCCAAGTATGTAATAGCATAAAGTATTTGCAATAGCAAAGAAAATATACTAAATATGAAATAGTATTTTTCTGTTTAGTTTTAGTAATATTTGAATTTTTGTTGTTTTCCTTAAGCTTTAAGGTCCGGATTTTAGAAACTAAGGTTCCTACAGTTCGAGCTAGTTTTATTATAGTGTGTGGATTTCTTTTCTTTTAAGAATTGTCTCCAATTTACATGGAACATCACAGTTGTCAGATTTTCAAGGATGTTCTTATACTACACTTTGCCCTGTTATGTTGGAGTTTTATGTTGCCACTTCTGCTGTATTCCTACAGAGTCACCTTGTGGATACTTGCAAAGTATTAATCAATTTCTAGTACATTTCACATCTTGTTGCATTACAGTATCTCAGCATTTGTTGCTTTCTTGGTAAATGAGTTCTGTTTATTATGGCTTTATTCTTTGGTATTTAATTTCCAGAATTAGAATGCTTTTTATATGCCATTCATAATTGCTTTTCTTAGAACAGAACACAGGCAAAAATAGGAAATCTGCAGAATAAAGTACCAGATTTTACATAATAGCCCTAGTCTGCAAAAATCTGATCATGTGCTTTGCTTTTAGGGATTCTTAGGTTGGGTGAGAAAATGGCATCTGCATGTTCAAGTATGTAGTAGCTGTATAAGTCTTTGTAGCATTAGGACTCCAGTATTCCTCTCCTTCATTACCTGCTCAGTAAGGACATTAAAGGGATCGAAGGATGGTAATTTAAGAGAGCTAATCTGCGTGTTTTCCATCAGAAACTAGCTTAATGTGAGTCTGGATTCAGTCTGTTGAAAAATGCTGATTTGGACTCATAGTGGATGTCTATAAATTAAGCGCATTGTCTCTTGAAATGTGAGTAATTACATGAATTGCTGGGTGTTTATAAAAGCACTTCATTTTATACTCATAATAGAGTGACATTGTGAAGTTTTATAAAAATGGATTGGAAATTCTCCAAAATAACTGTGAATGTGTTTTCTTTTAATGCATTTACTTTAAATAAAACATCTGCTGAAGGGAAGAGCAAGATTTAAATATATTGTTTTCTCTATGAGATAAGTGGTATGTTTGAATCTGAAATATAATTTCCATATTAATAGATAATTTATTGGCACCAATAAAATACTTCATATTTGGCTTATCTGATGCCACATGAATTTGATATCATGCACAATACTAGTAGCTAATCTGCGTTTATTTCGGCTTTACTGTATATTCCTACCTAACATGTAATCTGTCTTAAAATTTATATTTTTTTTATAGTTGGTGTGTGTGTATATGTAAATGTATTTCAGCATCTAGTCTTACGGGGAATCTTAGAAATGTTGTTGAGAAATGAAATAATGCCTTGTGCAAATGTGAGTCTTAACAAGTAGTAACTAAGAAAGATATGGACTGCTCAGTTTCTTTCCATACAGTTACTGCAAATGTGTTTGTTGATGGAATATGGTTTGCTGTGTTGCTGACAGAGCTAATGTGCTTACCTGGAATTCTAGATCCTATCCAAATCTGCTTTTCTGAAAAAGGAATTTACAGCTCTCCATGAGAACTAACATAAATATCCTAAGTATAAAGAAAAATCTGTAGCTCCTGAAACTTGCCTAAGATATGAAATTCCATTTAATGTGAACTGTACTGAGCAATCTTTTGGTGAATTTTTTCCTAGAAAGTGTATGTAAAAGCATAAAGTTTTAAATGAAAGCTTGTGGTATTCATTTTCTAACTGAAATTCAGGCCTCTTTTAGAAAACTACTTTAGTGACTGAAGTGGAGCTGAAAAACCCCTAAGGAAGTTTCAGTGTGGTGGTGTACTATGTCAACTATTATGGGCAGTATGTAACTTGAAGAAAATGTGAAGTTGTACAGGCAGGTAGTTTAGAAATTATTTTTCTCCCCTTAGGTAATT